GATATTCTCGGTGATGTGCTGGCGCTTCTCGGCGGATACTTTTGCGGCCTCGGTGAGCCGGGTTTCCTCGGCGGCATTGGGAATTTTAAACGATTCTGGACCGTAGGATTTGCCGCGGCGTTCCCCAGAAGCCTTGCCCTGCTCCTGGAGGGGGCCTGCGTTCGATGCTGAAATACCAAGCTGGAAGCTGGTCTCCTCATTTGACGCCATGCTGGGGGAGCTTGGTAGGTATCTGTGTAAAATTAGCATGCAAGATGGCCGAAAGGGGGAGGCATACACACCTTTCTATCAAGACCAAGGTAATGTGCTGGGTCTGGAAGTAGATGTGCTCGCTTTAGAGACGAATACCTGAGAAAATTTGAGATGGATAAAAGCTTTGGTCTGCGATTTTCCCTGAGAAAATAGACTGCTTTTATAATGACCAGTCTGCCGTTCCTCCGGGATCACTGCATGGGCGTACTCTAAGCGCCTTTGCTCTTCCAGCCAGATTCGGGTCTATAATTAGAGCTTGAATCTGAGAAGTCGTTAGCGCCGGGGCGCCGGGGCATAAAAGAATGCTCATCACCAATCAAATACTGACTGTGAGAGATCCGCTAAATGCTCGAGAGAGCAAGAGTGGCATCGAAAACAGTGATCGAGCCGAAGAAATCAAGTTAATTAGTGCCTTAACATCAAAGTTTTGAGCAGGCGATGGTACGACGCTAGGATTTACAGGCGGCATCTTGAAATTTCAAGGGGGAGGTTGATTTTCTGAATTTTTACTATATCTTTTCACGGAAGAATATGTACAGCAGCACCACCAATGCCTGACCATCCATATTCACAGCTATTTTCTGCCGTGATTCTGGCGAACCAATAAGCTCCATGGCCACGATCCATAAACCGACAGGATGTACTAGCCTATTTTGGACAGCGGGGGTGGCAGCGAGCAACAGACTACTGCTGTGCCACTGTAGGCAGGGCCACCAGCGTTTAATTATAGATCCTTATTAGTGGTTGCGTAGAAGAAGTGGGGCCGTCTCAACACGTAAAAGCCAAAGTCGGTGTGCTCAACCCCCTTTTAAGAGCGCCGCGACTTCCTCTTCAGTCATCAAGCATCTGGTGTATTCGCGTTCTTGTCCATTCCGCCGACAGTTTCAGAGATGCAGGCTCGCATGTGCTTCGACGATGTCGCGTGGGAACGGAGTGAGGCCATTCAAGACGCCTGGGTACACGAATTATTCAATAAAGAGACTTTGATGGCTATAGGTCAATTTGTCCTGAAATATCGAAGAGGGGTGCCTATTGAGCTGTGTGATCCAAAAGCTGGGGCGTTCAATGTGTCGTTCAGAATGAAGTTTCAGGACGGCGGTTCTGCAATCATTCGATTTCCCAAACCCGGTGCTACGATGTTTCCCGATGAGAAGGTGCGCAATGAAGTCGATATAATCAGGTATATTCAACAGCACACGACGATTCCCGTACCATTTGTCCTGCACTGGGGCACTAAAGAGGAGAATCCTCTCGGCCTTGGTCCATTTATCATCATGGAATACATTGACCATGTAATGGACCTGAGCGACGTCCTTAATACCCCTGGATTTACGATTAAGGATCGTCCAATTCTCGACCCACACGTTGATGACGCCAAGCTTGAAATACTATACGGGCAGTTTGCGGATATTTTGCTTCAGTTGTCCACGCTACGGCTGCCTAGGATAGGATCATTGGTCCAGACTGACGATTTCACTTGGGAGGTGGCGCAAAGACCCTTATCCTATAATGCGAACGAACTCGTCCGTCTAGGGACTTTACCACGCTCGAAGTTGCCAAGGGTGAACGAAACTTTTCCATCAGCGTTATCCTACTTCAATACACTGGCAGATCTCCACCTCGACCATCTCACACACCAACAAAACGATGCCATCGATTCCGCAGACGACTGTCGACGAAGGTATATTGCAAGATTATTGTTCCGCAAGCTCGCTAACGACGGTCGCTTCACGACTTCTTCCACGAATCTCGGACCATTTAACATCTGGTGTGACGATCTTCGGCCCTCTAACGTCTTGATCAACGAACATCTTCGAATTGTAGGGGTTGTGGACTGGGAATTCACTTATGCTGCACCAGTGGAGTTCTCTCACGCCCCACCGTGGTGGCTGCTTCTTGAGCAGCCAGAGTATTGGTCGGATGGGATGGAAGCGTGGACGAAGGTGTATGAATCACGCCTGCAGACGTTCTTGAAGGTGCTACGCGAACAGGAGGACATGGCCATAGACCGCGGTAGACTGAAGGATGACCAAAGGCTTTCCACTCCAATGCAGCAAAGCTGGGAGAGCGGTGATTTTTGGGTCACTTATGCGGCGAGGAAAAACTTCGCCTTCGATGCTGTATTCTGGAAAAAGCTTGATGGCCGATTCTTCGGACCCGGAACGAGCACCGACGACGACCGTTGGAAAGAACGGATAGACCTTCTTACCGAAGACGAAAGAGCAAACATGGCAAAGGTAGTCGAGAAGAAACTGGAAGAAACGAAAACAAGGGTTTTAGCCTGGGAGCCCGATGAGGTGGACCTGAAGATCTCGGGCTAGTATTTGAGATAAGAGTACAAGGAAGAGCACAGTTTCCGGGAGGCTGCCTTCTCTCATCTTTTGAACTCACGTTCGCTACGGCACTTGTCACGAAGATGTATTCTCAGAGAAATTTTCTGTTTCCTCGGCCGTTTTTTCGTTTAGGCTGTGCAAGTATATCGGCGCATGAAGTCGGATCACGTCTATCGTAGGAAAGACCACGGTTTCAGTGCACACCTGGATGTTCTCATGAATTCTATATCCATTCTCCTAACAAACTTATGTTAGAGTGAAAGGAGAGTGAAAGGGTTGATTTATGCTCGTCGGCATGGTTAGGTGGCCTCGAGTCGGCCTGTCGCGATGGCGAATCGTATTGAGGCCCGTACTGTCTCTAAGTTTGGCATCCACTTTTGATAGTCGGAAGGGGACTTCCCTTCCTGGTAAAAGGACAGATTTCCTCGGTGAGTGTCGGTACATTGTAGCATCTCCGTCCAGTGCGCAGTCCACTTTCGACATCGAAAGAGGAAGTGCTCCACAGTTTCCTTAGCTTGTCCGCACGCACACTGATCTGTATCGGCCACGTTGATTCGATAGAGGTATCCATTTAGTCTCTCCATGCCAGTTCGAAGTTGGGCTAGCACAGTCTCTTCTTTCCACGATAAGCGGCCATACAGCAGTCGCGTGTGTTTTCCTAGAAGTGCGGCATCTACTCGTTTGGCGTGCTTTCCGACGTCCGCCGGTAAGATATTCTAGGGGACTGCTTGAGACCGTGCGAGATTCAGTGTGGTCAATTTCGTCCTCGGGGCGTGTTCTTATAGGAGGGCATCTTCGTGTGTCGAGGCTCTTGCCTGTTCCAGATATAATATTGCATTGGTATACTAAGATCTAGTCTGTTCTTTTAAGTCAAGACAACGGAGAGATGGGCAAATCCCCCCCCCCCCCCCCACCTCGCTTTCCCGGCTCCTTATCCAGCTCACTAGTACTCTCATTCCAAGATATTCGCAGATCCTCTTGCCTTCAAGATCTTAGCCTTTGGGGTTCCAGCAGAGCCAAAATCCTTCCCCCACACTCATATACCCGTTTGCTACTTAAGCCCACCCTCCAGGCCAAGTTGCAACTCTGCTAAGTCCCCTTAGGGTCACGGCATAACAACCTTCCTGCTTCTTATGAACAGACATGCGCATCCGTCCTCTCGGGCTATACTGACAATGTTGTAAGGATCTCTAGTTGGCAGCCGATGGCGACGCGCCAACCTTCTTCCTAGCCATCGTTGCCATAGTATACCTCAGTCCACAAGTTGGCGTGATTTCTTGCTTCCTGATACCTAGTATCCTCTCGTTCTATAGGCTGACCATGTCTTGCAGATGGTCCCTTTATACACCCAAGCCTGCAACGTATAATCTTTCCATCCACTAACCAAAGTATCCTCCGATTCGAGGTAGGGAGCCCGCAGCCGATAGCGATACACCTTAGCCCTAATCCCACAAATCCAATTCTACCCCACAGGTGTCCTGCTCGACTTCGATCCGCGCCTCTGAGAGGCTCTGTGAACTCCCCTTGGGGTGACGGCATGAGGGGCTGTGACCGTTATCGTCGGATGGTTTTTAAATCGTTCCTGTGTGTCAAAGGGGCCCCGAGGTCGCTAGAATTGCGGTGGAGGCAGGCCGCAACATCGTGGACTCGTTTCCTCTGGTCGTCATTGCGTCTCTCATTGGCTCTGGAGTAACAGAGACTCCAGGTTCGTAGCCCACGCCTCGTACAGGCCGAGAAATCCGATTTCGTGGGCCGACTTGGAATACAGTGCGTCTCGAAATCGGTGCACTCTCCTACACTCTTCGAGGAATTCTCTAGACCCACCGCCAAGATACACTAGCTCTGATTAGGAAATCTATTCAGAATATCAATGTTCCTGTACAGTATCATTATCAATACTATCACTGACTGTGTATCACTAAAATACGATCGCTGTCTCGAATTGTATTGACGCGGTGCCACATACAGTACTGCCATTCTACAATATCACATGAAATAACTAATCTATAACTGGTGATTCGCACGTGATTCATGTGACGCCTACTATAACAAGTTAGTATGTATCGGAAGTCGCGCTAGAGTAGACAAATCCCAAGATCATAGGACCACATCACACATCAGCTAGAGCCTTTCACAAATGACAAAGGCTCTTTTACCGCGTTGCTTTCTTCTCCTGCAGCTGGTGTGGAGCTGCTGATATAGGCGACAGACTACATATTGCCGCCTGCAGGGTCGTCTCAAAAGAATAAAATTAGAAGACAAAGCCTAACGACTCGCATGCTACGGAGTAAATTGACGAGGCACTAGGGCTCTCTGCAATCGATTTTTGGCACCTATCCCCTCCATCTGCCGTATGCTTTCCATTTTGTATCGACTGTCTTTCTCTAGATCTTAAGCATCAGAATACCCTAAGCCATGCCAGGCCGCAATACCTGTGTGACAGAACTTTCTTGTGCGGATAGTCCCCTCTCAACTACCGGCAGTGTTATCGGTATCCTCACACTTGCATACGCACTCTTCCTTACGATTATGTTTCAAATGAATGCAATAGCTGGAGTGGATACGGAAATCGACGAGTTTATCGACCGTTTGAGAGGGGAGTATGAATCTTTGAAACGGGCCGTGAAGTTGCTCGATGAATTTGGAGACAGAATTCCCCAAACCACAAGACGCAACGTGGGATTTATAGCACAAGAAGCTACGAACATTGTCCTGAACGATGCATCACCGCCACTATTAGCAGAAGGGGCAGACTTTGAATGGATGCCATGTTCATTGAGACGGCTTTTCAGAAGAAGTGATTTCCTCCGAAGAAATAAAACCGTTTTCAACGATCACCAGAAGGTAATAGAAAAACGAATGCAGGTTGAGGGAATGTGCAGTCAGGCTTTATAATTAGGTTGGTCATTTTTTAGTTTCGAAAAATGGTTATCTTTGGTCCTGGCTGAACCCTCCGTATATTTAGTCTTATCGGTTATGAGATCGAGAAGCAGAGTACGAAGATTGGTCAACTGCATGACATAGTACAAGCTCAGAACTCAATGCTTTAGTAGATGGTGGATGCTTCTCGAGGTACTGTCTTTGATGTCCCTGGCGAGGAAGAAGAAAGCATTCTACCCTACGTCTCCAACGAAGAAATTAATTGAGTGTCAAACTGGATATGAAGGTGGAACCGTCGGAGCATGACGACCGGCATACCGGAGGATTTATTAATCCTACATATTTTGTAATTAAAGTTATATAATCATGTCTCCATAACTAGTTCACGCCATCTACTATTACTTACCCCAATAACTACTAATATAGTGGATAATTGATCATGATAAAGGGATACCCTATTATTAGGTATGCTGGATGTCTCATATTTATAAAATTTTATTGATATGACTGAGAAAAAAAAATTTTGTGGTGAATTTTAAAATTCTTAGGGCGTGTAGTTAATTATATATATGCATAAAAACCACGTCACTATTTTCTATTTTCGGGTCTTACTTAGATTCTGATGCAAATACAATGATAGTATGTATGCAGGTAAAACAGTATTCAATTGGATGGACGGGGAGAGAGAGAAGGTGAGAGTGGAAGGAAGACTATCTAGTTGGTCTATCCTACATGTGATGCCTGAGGCATCCAACATTATTTCTTTTTAAGGGGATGTTGAAGATAGCCACGGAGAGCCAATAAGCATCAGGAGCCAATGTACTCTTGAAAAGACTAGATATAATATAGCTGAGTAATAATGCAGTCCTGGTGCATAATTGGACCTAATCTACGCACTGAAGTATCGAGGGTTACGTTGTACTGTTTTGTCGACTGTGGATTCATGTCGGCGACAATGTCCCAACAAGTCGGGGTTATGTCTACAACCACAAGTTCAAAGTTGGCAGATGCTACGGGGAAGTTATTAGAAGATAGTAAGTTTCTGTGCTATTTTTGAAAAGCATCCAGGCTGGAGAACGGAAAGAGAAAAGGGAAGACCCACGAGAAAATATTCAGTTAGTCACATGTGGTCCATGTGAACGTACTTTCTGCTATTTATCCCTTCGTCTGAATCTATCTCTCGGACTTCCTCGTAGACCATCATGAAATTTTCCCCATATATAGAAATAGTCTCCAAAACCCTATCGACTGGGGGTAGTGTTGACTGTTGCCATTATTCCTACAGGTGAGAATCAATGTCGATCACCTGTCCTTCCCCCAGGGATAGTTAGCGTCGGAAAAGTCGCGGATCTTGCACAAAAGATGATCCCGCACGTTTTTGCGGGGATAAGGGACTATGCGTCTAAGGCAAGTGGTTAGTTTTACTCTTCACAATTCACACGAAAAAACGTTAAATCACATCTCATTATGGCTTTTCACGACGCGATAGATCTCATGAGGAAAATCCCGCTCGATCGCGCCCGAATGACCAAATTTTTCGATGTCGATCACAATATGAAACCTCGTGCCTGCTTGACCATTCGAAGGTTGGAAGTGCCAAAAATGCTTCTCTTGGAGGGCCTCCTCTGCAGGTCGTTCATTGAAGATCATGAAGGCCTCCACACATGCAACAATCTCTAAGTATTTTATGTCTGGGAAGTCCCTTTCCAGAAGTCGCAATATCACTCTCTTAGAACACATTGGGAAATTTATTTCGCAAGCGGACGTAAAGATATGGAAATGGAAAGAAAAGCTGCTATGGTTGAAATTCCCACTCCCATTTATAAAACCCACAAAGCTCACCTGACCTGACTGCTGACTTTCATCGACCCCTTGCATCGATCATCGTTTTAAAACCAGGTGATTCGACCGCTAGACAAATTGGGTTGGCATTTTCGGGACTAAAATAGCGACACCCTCTATTAAATTAAGCGCAACAGTGTATTAACAACAGTAATGTAGTCATATCTTTGGACTTAACTTGATCTAGTAGATGATATAATTTTAGGTATCGTCGCCGATGGAAATTTCTATTTAAATCGTTGCAAGGGTGGAGTCTTAGAACGTGCTCGTGGCCGTCCTAGCCAGCTGCACAGGCGTTGAAATAATCTATTTCTTGGCCATTGTAACAACTTGGACAATTGTGACGGTTTACGGAAATTTGGTTCTGGACGTAGAGGATAATGTCACGGGGGAGGCGACTAATGCATGTAGGTGGCTAAGACTGGCTGTCCACGACAAACGATTTTACATTTTTGGCATCCACTACAATGCTTTCCTTACTACGTGGAAAATACCAAAACCCCATGTGAGATCGCCATTTAAACTTTCTTCAATTACGATCTTGGGGCGGCTCACGCATAGAATCAATCTGTCTGATCTATGGTCTTTGTTTGTAGTTAAGGACTAAGTTCTGCTAGGTGCTACATTCCACTATAAGATCTTCTGTACCATGAACACAACGCATGTAAGTCTGTTGTGAGTCGGTTGTGGGACATATATTCGGGAAATCGAAGCAAGTACACATCTTCGACGAGGGCAGAAACTAGCACATGAGTTACATCATGCCACCAACTTCAGTGTCCGGATTCACGCAGCAGCAAAGGGACAATGAACTCATAGCTAACTATCACTATAACTCTTTCCACAATTATGCACGGAATATTGATGGAAATTCCCTCGTTCACGTTCACACTATTCTCCGAATTCCGAAAATTCGGAGCTGCTGGGGGTGATGCCTTGGCACACCGGGCATTTACCGGAGCACCCTTTGTCCGCATCAGGGTAGATTCGAGGAAGATCCCGAACTTTGCCGCTTTGGGGCTCGCAATAGGCTTTGTCGGGGCGCTGCTCAGATGCGCCGCAGCGCATGACCGCAGCATAGAAGGTGCAGCCACAGCCACCCGGACCATCATATGTCTTAAACCGTAACCAACACATCTGGTCAACGAGTTAGAATGAATCGGACTAAAGAAATGACTGAGAATTGAATAAATACCTTGAAGCAAAGTCTCGGTTCCTAATAGATTGGTGGACGTTGGGAAGACCTTTAAAGGATCTTGTTGTGCAGGCAGATGGGTTTGGAAATTTGAATACAACCTTCGAATGGAGAAAGGGCTATATATACCAGTATCTCAGATTTCGCTGCGCGCACGGTTGCTGTTTATCGCCGAGAAGTAGTGGGATGTTTGGATATCGCAAGAGTCTGTGACTTAGGCTGCAGCAACTCCTGGTCGTTTGTAGCCAATTAAAGCAGTACGCGGCAGAGCAAAAGGACGTATCCCAGGAGCTTTGATATTATCTCTACACCCGAGAAAAAGAAAAGATAGGCGGCTATCATTAGCCAGCTAACCAAATAAAATATACGTTGAGGAATGGAAATGCTACCGTCTGTGAATTGAGATCTATCCCAGGAGCATTCGTATCATCCAGTATATCGCAACTGGTGGTTCTGATTGGTCAACTAACCCTTTGCTAGTGACTACTCCATATGATTATAGACATACTCCTCCATCTATCCCTCCATCACTTCGCTCCATCACTTCGATCCATCAATCACTTCACTCCATCACTTCGCTCTATCACTTCCCCCCATCGCTTTTTGTTATATGATATTCTCAAACGTGTCACAAAAGCGGGTGGGGCAGATAAATGGCTCTAATATCACGTAGAATGCGATTTCTCGTAGTTTTGCCATCATAATACCAGAGTTTCTATTACTATAGTGATTCGCTCTATTTGGTGCCTAGGTGGGACGTACCTGGCATGATGTGATATAGCGTTCGCCCCTTTCCTATTGAAAAAAAACGACATATCCCTTCTATAATATTATGTACACCAAGGCCTATCTTATAGGGTTAGCCTAAGTTACAACCCGACGCTCTAGCCCCTTTGCATGTGGCATACCAACTCCGCATATTTTGGGATGAATAAGCAGCCTGATGCCTTGAGCTGACGAGGCTAAAGTCAGGTTATAAGTAGCAAGTCCTGCAGAGTGAAGCGGCTATCTCAAACAATATCGAGTTAGAAAGTATTGCAGAAAAGAGTAATTTAGAACTTGTGGGATACCCTCAGAAAAGGTACGCCGGGCGATACTGTAGTCAGCTATGCAAAGGTCCACGGACAGCAAATTTTTATTTTCTCAATCCCTCTTAAGGCTCCTGCCGGTCCCGAGAGTATCCACTTGGCCTAGCCATTTATTCCACCTGGGATATAAGGACCCACTAAATTTGATGTTTGGCTACGCGCAAACTTATCTAAATTGGCATTTGCTATGGGCTAGTACACGCGCTTGGGGCCAGGCGTTGATTCCTAGGAACACAGCCCGGCTGGAAAGCTCTTTATCATGGTATGAATATCAGTCATGAGGCATGCCGGGTAGAAATTTCATCACAGACATCGGTTTCGCGCACATGAGGTTGTCCATCAAAAGTTGGTTGAAAAGTATCGTATCCAGCGGCACAACACCGATATGCCTTCAATAAAATCGATAATGATATTCTGCACGTCATGGCCGTCGACGAGGATTTTGCCATTCTTATGGTTGTAGTATCGGAAGAGGAGATGGAGAACCGTGGATTTGCCACCACCAGACTCTCCAACCAGGGCTGGCGTGGACCCAGGTTAACAACTAAACAAAAGGCCATCCAATAAGCTAACATCCTGAAACTCGATCACTCCGTGACAAGTGGCCAGGGGGTAGCACAAGGGCTACTTTGCATTGCGTATGCACGCCAATTAGGGTCGGCGATTCAATGCACGCGGGGTATTCTATGTAATTCAAACATCAATCGCCAGCCCCCACAATCAGATTCACATGACCATTTTCCCTCGTGTAGTAGAACAGAAATAACGAGGCCATGGAATATGAGCGATTGTGAATTACCCTGGGTCCACCATCTAGGGCGCCAATCATTGACAGCCTTCTATACTATAAAGGATGCGGGCCAGCGTGGAAGTGACCTTCTAGGCTGGAT